GGCGGCGGCGGCGCCGGGGCGGCCCGCGGCTTTACAGCCTGAACAAGCAGCGGGGAAAGGAGAACGCAGCGGGGAGTGCTGAACCCGGTTCCCCGCAGGCTCTCCCCGCAGCTTTCCCACAACTCTGTTCTAACTGAAACGCAACGGCTGATCACTCCCGTGAATTACAAATTCCAAACCAAGTTGCTAGCTGAACGTGCATTTCTGAAGCAAAAATCACGTAGAGCTTCTAGTTGCTAGCATGATAGCGTATCACCGGCAACGTTATTTTCACAGAGTTTCTATGCGCCGGCATCTTTGATTCGGGCAATAATATCGGAAAGAAAACTAAGGCAAAAAGCTTGAACTATTTGTAATGGGTTCTGCTGACCTAATTCTGTCAGCAGCCACGATTAAACCCTGTCAGCAGAAGTCTGCTGCTGCTACCTGTGTACCTTCAGCACTTTTATCTGCATGACATGTTCCAGAGACACGCGGTTTATAAAAGCTCTATATTTTAGAGAACTCTGCTAATCTAAACATAATGGATTCCGCGTTGCTAGCTTACTGCCTCCGTTCTTTTGTTGCATTTCATTTATTGGTGCAGCAACTCACTTCCATGCAACCCTGCTTTTCTACTTCTACTTTTGCCTTTTCCCTTGTGAGATGCCATTTTTTTCATTTTAGTGTATATTTTTAATTGGAATAAATGTATTGATCACACTCTTTTCCCATCCAAATGCACAAATGGAGAGCTAAACTTGAAATCATTTTGCTGGAAGTTACTTAGGCAGTGGAAGTTACACCATGGACTGTAGCGTACAGCTTATAAAGTTGAATATCGATTTATTTACTATACGCTGTTTTGTGGCATATAATAAAAAGAAAGATGCGTAACTCTTAAGATGCCCTTCACGTTGCTTCAAGCCAGTAAGAGAGGCGTTCATGTCTTCCTTCATCTCGGTCTGTCCTCGCTTAATCTTCTCTGTGGCCTGTTTCTATACATCACTCCTTTCCTGGTAACAGCTGGCACCTATGCAAAGGCAAGTACCTTGACCTTGCCTTGATGTGCTATTTGCATAAATGTAGAGAGTAACAAGAAAATGAATACCAGCGAAAATCAGAAAGCGGAGCCATGACCAAATACAGTGTTTGGCGGCTGCTGACTTAAAATATAAAATGAAATTTGTATCACAAAAAACCCCCAAACTTCCTACTTGCTCACAGGCTACTTAACAAAACGGAAGGTTCTCTGCACAGAACAGGAGTACCTCTGGAGGCGGCCATTTCAGCAGGCCACTTCAGCTGCAGGACTTTCAGGATGTGGCGTGGTTTTTTTGGTGAAAGAAGGATGCTGTTATCTTCTAAAGGGTGACACAATCACCCTTTGAAGCTAATTGGAGGTGGTATGCTGACCTATTGAAAGAGCAGAGCAGGGCCATATTTAAGGCAACAGATTTTTTAAAACGTCTTTATCCCTCTTTCTCTAGCGTTAATCATCAACAGAAAGTTATCCAGGCAAGTATTTTTTACTTACGTATGCAAGTTGCTTGTTTGTTTATTCTTAAGCAAAACTAATTTAGCTAAGAACAGAACTGCTGGGTGCTTTTGTATTAAACATCTGTTCTCAAATAGCCATATTTAGCCTAATATTCTTATTTTGCTGATGAAAACTAAGTTTAGAAACTGCTTTGCCGCTGCTTTTTTTTTTTTGCCAGTGTGAGCTGTATTTCGAGCGATGGTGTTGAAAATCAAGCTGCAATTCTTTTGACAAGAAAATGGCCGATATGTTTACTGTAATTCCTTACACTGCGGTTACTATAATGTATTGCTAATGTAAAAAACACTACAATGAACTTA